CTTTACTAATTGGTTGAGATTATTTAATGTGCACCACCCAGAGATGACATTTGAACACAAAAAAGACTGAAAAAGAAGGGACTTTAAACCAAGTTCCCAATTCAGTAAAACATCTTCTGTAGGCTTTTCTGCAAACAATAATATAGCAGGTGTAAGTCTTATTTCACAACACTCATCAAATAAACATCCCAGTTATCTCTCTAAATCTAATTTTGTCTACAGTGAACATCAAATACCTCAGTCATTATGGGGCTCCTCTCACCAGAGACAAATGACAGTCCCAAAGGTTCTTACAAGGTCCAGAACTTTCTCCACAGGCTCTCCAGTCAAGGGGTCAGCACTTTCTGTAAAGGGCCAGATAGTAAATATCATAGACTTTGCAGGCCCTACTGGTCACTCTGGCAACAGCTCAATACTGACGTTGTAGAAACCAGCCACAGACAACAGGTACATCAACAGATGAATGTAGCTGTGTTTCAGCAAAACTTCATTTAGGGACATGGAGACTTGAACTTCATGTAATTGTCCCGTGTCATTGGGTGAGGAAAAACCTTAGTCCTCCTTTTACCGAACTGAGTCGTATGGACCCTGCTCGGGCCCTAGCCAGGCGGAGGCTCTCTGCCTCAGTGGGGGAGGGAGGGCTCTTTTTCCCATCGGGTTCAAGTAGGCAGATAACGAAACTGAAGCTGAGATCAGCACAGCACAAGCTCTATTCAGTGGCCCATCCTTTTTCAAGGGAGTGATGTGCCACCCTCTTCTTACCCTGTTTTGGTCCTTAATGTCTGGTCATGGCCCCTGATAGTGTGTCATTTAATATGCTAATGTAGTCAGATCAACATATAATGAGACTCAGGTCTGTGGGAGGTCAGATTCCTCATCTCCTTGGTCCCAGCTAGCTCCATCTGGATTTTGCTATTGTTGTTTGTAGCTTCCTTTCTCATCTCTGGACTTTTAACTTAAGGATTTACGTTAATTCTTGCTAAAGGTGGGGATTGGCACGTTTTGAGCAAAGACTTGAAGCAGCTCTGGCAACATTCCCTCTGCCTATATTTCTTTTTTACTCTCACACTATTACCACACTCACCATACTTTTGACACAGATGTGTGGATGCTTTCCCCACAACAAGCAGTTCTGTGACACCAGCTGGGTGGCCTACAACTAAACTCCGTTCTGACACTGTCTCTCTGGAGGTAGCATCAGAGTCCACAGTGTAAGGGCTCAGTTCACAGGACTCCCCCCACCCTTTAGATGACAGTCACAAGTCCAGGTTGTCACCTGCGCTTCTGACCAAATGGCCATAAAGCAGAGGTTCCCAAGCTCCCCTCCTCGGTTGGATAATTTGCTCGAGTGGCTCACAGAACTCAGGAAAACAGTCAATTTACTATTTGCCAGTTTATTCTAAAAGGAACTGATAAAGGATACACATGAACATCCAGATGGAAGAGATGTATAAAGCCAGGTATGTGGGAAGGGACACAGAGTTTCCATGCTCTCTCCTAAGCACCCTGTCCTCCCAGCACTTCCCCCAAGTTCTCCAGACCTCATACTATTGAAATTTTATGGAGGCTTCATCATGTGGGCATGATAATTATTAACTCCATTTCTCCTTTGGAGAAGAGGGGGATGGGGCTGAAAATGTCAAGCTTCTAATCATGGCTTGGTAACCAGCCTCATCTAGGAGCCTATGAAAAGTCACCGCATTAGAACAAATGACACTCTGATCACCCCAGAAATTCCAAGGGATTTAGGAAACTCTGCGTCAGGAACTGGGGTCAAACACTAAATATTCAAACAAAATATGTTCCTAGTGCTCTTATCACTTAGGAAATTACTGGGATTTGGGGACCTCTGTTCCAGGAACAAGGGACAGAGGCATGTATATATATATACACTATTATCTCATAGTCATAAATTCTTCTTCTTTTTTAATTTCTTTTTAATCATTTAAAAACATAAAATCCAATTTTGTTCCCAGGCTGTATAAAGACAGGCAGCAGGCTGTCTGATTTTCCAACTCTTGCTCTGATCTTCTGTCCACACTGGATGCAACTGATATGCTCAGGGTAGAAACCCACCTAGGGCCCTCAAAGAAAGGCAGTTATAGAGGCTGGATCCCAGCACCCAGCGCAGGCAGCCCTAGGTGCTCCTCGCTGCCACGCCCTGCCAGGACCAGAGCGGGGAAGCAAGCCCAGCTCAGACCTCGCTGGCTCCTACTTCTTAGACAATTTTCATCCTTTTTTTGAGAACTTGGGAGTTAAGGATGCTCCTGATCTCCACCACTCAGGGTCCTATTTGTCCTCTTTTGGGTGAAAGGGTAAGTCATACTCATTCTGTTTCTTTGACAGCAGTAAAAACAAAATATGAACTGATCATCTCAAATTATTCTGCCACTGTAGGTACTTTGAGAGGAGAAATAAGTTGTCCTTCTTAAGGGGAAACTCATTTATTTATTCTGTGAGGATAGAATAAAGAATTAGACATAGGACTTGGGAATTGTGCTGCTCCAGTTCATTGTTCCCTCCTTCTGATGAAGTCTAGCCCAGAAAGTTTCAGTAACTCATTAAAAAGACAAAAACAAACAAACAAACAAAAACACTCGAAGGCAATAGCATGATCAAACCCAGGCATTCTCTGTCCTCTTCCACACTGTCTTCTCCAGAACTCATCTTCCTTGCCTTGCTCAACTCACTAGACTGTTAAGTCAGAGTGTAAGAGTATCCAGGACGTATCCCTACAGGTGCTTATCACAGGAAGACTCCAAAAGGTGTAACCAGGTACCTGTTGCCACTTGCAGTCAACTGAGTGTCAGCACTGCAGGACTCTTGGCCTCTAAGATTCTGCTCACTCGACAAGAGACAGAATGTAGTGTTGAGAACACAGATTCCATGAGACACACACTCTGCGTGGTTACTTCTGAGATTCTCCTAGTGAAGCTGTAGGTATTCCTCATGTGAAGATCAGTTGCTTCTTGCGGCTAGTTGTTTATGTATCTCTGAAGACTTAGGTGGGGAGGAATTGAGAAAATGGATATCAAGTCCAGGCAAGACCTGAGGAGACTTTGCAGCCAGATGATTCCGTGTTAGCTTGATAAACAGAAGTGCCATTTCAGTAACCACAGTGTTGCAGGAGAAAGTGGAGCCCTGAAGTGTGCTGTTGAGCCAGAGGGGAAAGAAAGACGAGGAGAATAGAGCTGGTCCTGCCTTTACTTAAAATTAGAGGAGAACTTTCAGAAATGACTTTCTGTTAGATGGGTACATTCTGAAATTTGGGGCTAAGAGAATAAATTTCTACTTGAACCGCTTGCACTGTATACTTCTTAGTGCCTCATTCCTCTTTGGAGAAGAGCTGTAAAAGCAAAGTTCCAAATACTCAGCGGAGGGTACAAGATGTTCTGCTTAAGCTTCAAGGCCAGATTCAGAATACATTTCTCCACGTAACTGGTAGCCAGAATTAACCAGGCTCTACATGTGAATGGCCATCATTATGCTTTTAACCTCAGTCTTGATACTCCAAGCTGCCCAACTGCTAGACCTACCAAAAAATATCTGTCTCTTCCTGGATTGCCCTCTCTAAATATTTTTAAGACAGACGAGGTGCAACTGGGACCAGATTCATCCTCTGCCACCATCTTAGGCCCCAGTCTGAGGTTAGGCCTCTGCGTCCAAGGCTTAGAATCCAAGGATAAGTTTAAAATCCAAACAACACAGCAGATTCCCAGAAATCTGGAAGGAAGGAAAGATTCTCAGGTGGCTTATGCATTTCAGATGTAAATGGGCACACCTTACTGGATTCACCAAGGGCTAGTTACTCTTAATTCTCAGATGGGTAGGGTATGCCTCACCCTACTGAAATTGAGTTTTACTGATCGAAATATATTAAGTATAGAAATGGTATAGATGAAAAAGTTAACAACTAGTCCTTTAGCATGAGAAGTAAGCACCTGAGGATTGGTGAGATCCTGTTTCAGAATGCTACCTTATGTTTGCACCTCTAGTATTTCATATTACTCTTGCTTTTTCCATATTTGGGAGACCTAGGCAGAATTCTGCCTTCACTCCCTCAGAGGGGGGTCAGGTTATAGCTCAGAGGTAGAGTATGTGCTTAGTATGCACAAGGTCCTGGGTTCAATCCCCTGTACCTCCATGAAAGAATAAATAAATAAATAAACAAACAAACAAACAAACAAACCTAATTACCTCCTCCCCTGCCAAAAAAAAAAAACAGCACAAACTACAAAACTCCCTCAGATAAAGGACAATTCAGCAGGGCACACATAATGAGTCAAATTCTTGGTTTTGGAGTTTCAAAAGCCTAAGCACTGGCATAAGACAAAAGGTTTGGAAGAACTGTGAGTAATGAGAGCAGAGTGCCCTCAGGGTTGAGGGGTGTAAAGGTGGCCCCTAAGGAGAAGTCCTATTCCTTACTCCATCCCGGGACCACATCTCCAGGTGAGTCTGGACCCTCAAAGTGGGCAGAGATAGCAAGAGCCCAGCCCCACAGCCCGCATAAGAAACAGCTGGGTGTCCAGGCAGACCGGCCCCAGTCTCTGGGACCCCCTGCACCACCCATGGGACCTGCAGGGGAGCCCCGGTGCCTGACAGGGGCAGAGAAGTACAACTCACTGCAGCACAGTGTGGGGCGAGAGTAGGGGTCAGCCGTGTGCTTCCCCTGCACCAGGATGGGACAGCTGAGGACAGAGAGCCTTGCAGGTGGATACAAGGAGAATATAACAGTGTCCTACCTGGAACAGCATTTGGAAGACAGGGCATCTCAGCAGACACCAGCACTGATAGGAAATGCAGGACCGGAGCTCTGGAAGCCTACCTGGAGTTTAAACAAAACCCCAGAGAAAAGAGGAATGAGAGTCTTGAGTTGCCTGATGTTGAATGTCTACCATGCAGCAGAGTAGAAGTAAGAAATAGAAATTAAATTCCATTAAAGAAAAATACAGAAATTTGGGTTTCTTGCACACATGAATTTGTCAGATTCTTAATACCACACACATAACTAGTAATTCGTTTATGTTATGCATAAACTAGTAAGTCCCTAGGTCTAGTGATAGGGTCTTGAAAAGGAAGGATAAAGAAAGTGTTTGCCTCTCCCTTCCTATGCAGAAACAGCAAGGACCATAAAAAAAAAGTTCTAGAATTTTTTAACATCTAACCACAGTGTCATAGAATTTACCTTGGTGGTCTCTGCATGCATTCTCAATTGGGGAAATATCAACTTATAGTGGTTTGTGATTCCCTACAAAAGGGCTTCAGTATATAAGCAGATTCATAATTCATTTTGGTATTAAAATTTCTTGGGAAGGGAGACAATTAAGAAAAAAAAGTCTAAAAACGCTCCTTACACAGGAATAATGAAAAAACAAAGATTGAGAAACGCTGGTCTTTTGCAATAAGGAAGCCCAGGGACCCAAATTGAATAGTCTTAACCTAAGTACACCTCAAAAGAACAGTTATTAAAGGCACTATGACAACTACATTGAATTAACGAAGTTAATTTACTTATCCAATTAAAAACCTGAAAACCCTTTTTTTTTCCTTTTTCTGAAATTGGAAGCAGTGGTTATAGAAATCTGTATAAAGGTTTGCAGACATGATGTCAAAATAGAGTGAAAAATTCAGAGTTGTATGGATGTCTACCACCACCACCACTCCCCCAAAAGAAAGGGAAACAGTTTGTCAGGTTTTTAATTGAATAAGTGAATGAATTACCTATGTTAATTCAATGTAATTGCCATTGATGGGTCATCTACCGCCAGAACTAAGAGTGATGCAGTAGAATATGCAAAGCAACAAAGAAGCAAGAAGACAGGTGAGATTCTTATCGAAAGGGTATAGACTTGAACATAGTTCCCTGTGCTATACAAAATTTTTTTAATCTATTTTTATATATAGTGGCTAACATTTGTAAATTTCAAACTCCCAAATTTATCCTTTCCCACCCCCACCTTTTTTTTTAGATTCCACATATAAGTGATATCATATGGTATTTTTCTTTCTCTTTCTGGCTTACTTCACTTAGAATGATGATCTCTAGGTTCATCCATGTTGCTGCAAATGGCATTATTTTATTCTTTTTATGGCAGAGTAGTATTCCATTGTATAAATGTACCAGAGCTTCTTTATCCAGTCAGCTGTTGATGGACATTTAGGTTGGTTCACATTGTACTGTACACCAGAGACTGACACATTGTAATTGATTATACTGCAATTAAAAAACAGAATTAAAAAATAAATTTAAAACAAAGGGTATAATCTTATCTGTTGGGTCTCCTAGCTTTTTGCATCCTCAATATTCTGGTAAGGACAATTAGCTGGAGAGAAACATCTTAATTTGTAAACAAGGCCAAACAAGCTGCTAAGGATAAGAAAATCAAGGGCTTTTCATCTGGGTGTCTCAGATCTGGAAGACTGACACATTGCTTTTGCTGGGTTAGGTCCATGAGATGAAGTAAGGTGACAGGAGGAATGCAAAACATCCAGAGGAAACTCACCACCTCCCCAAGGGACTCACAAGCATGAGCAATAAATATACTAAATCTAGCACGTGTCTACCTTAGACAAGGGCAACAAGCAATGAGCAGAAGGCCTGGAAATAGTGCAGAACACTAGGTGCAAAAGCAGCAGGCTGGAGGAGACAGAGAAACAGACTAGGGCTCGCCTCCTTGCTCACCCACTTCAAAAACATGTATGTCCTTTGCCAGATGATTTGAATTCTGAGCTTCAAACCTCTCATTTGTAAACTAGAATTAATCTCTACTTGCAAGATTATTTTGGTTTAATCCTTAAGACCTCCATTTAAAAAAATTTTTTTAAGATTATTTTGAGAATTAAATGAGAATATGTGAACTGAAAAGCACCAGGGTCTAAAAAATGCACCCAGCAAATGGGAGTTTAAATAAAGAAGATGGGTGAAAGTTTAAATAAAGAGATGAATGGAAGTCTTAGTTAGAAGAGCAGACAGAAATGAGCCTAATCCCTGTTTCACCATCACTAGAGAAGACTAATCCCAGCAAGAACTGAGAAATTCAGAGTCGTGCCCTCAAAAATGAAAGAAATGGATGACGCTGAGGATTTTTCAGCACCTGGTAAAACTGTCCCTGCAGAATTCCAAGCAAGGAATTTGCTTTGGGAGTTGGCGTTGGAGCTGCTTGATGAAAAAAAATAAACACATAGCACTGGGGTACAAGGGCAGCAGACTGGCTCGTTGGAAAGGGGTTTCAGAGCACAGGAGTGAACTTGCAAGAATGCTGCTGAATAGGAAAAGGTGAATAGGAAGCAAAAGGAAAAATACATGTATCTAAGCCAAATTAGCTTGTGACTTTAAAGTGAAATAACCCATTATTTTATCCCTTTGGTAGAAACTGTTCCTGTCAACAAGCTCTGGGAGAGAGGGGGATTAGGTCACTCCAGGTAGGATTTCTCTGTTCCACATTAAGAATACCTTTCCTACACCAAGGAAATAGCTGTAGGGTCAGGAAGAAGGAGACAATGATGCAACCAAAAGAATGCTGGCTCCCAAAATAAAAACAAGCATTTTAATGACTAATAAGAGAGAAGCTCTGAGCAAAGACTTATCAAACAACCCGAGTTCTTTGAGAATGTGGGTGAAAACTTGCAATTTATTTCAGATTGGTAGATACACGAGGAGGTTCACGTAATTTATAGGCTGTAAGACTCCATAAACAAGGATTGAGTAAATACATTGCCTGAGAATAGTAATAGCACATGATCAAAAAATAAATAAAATAAAGTGATGTTTCCTGCCAAAATGAGGTTTTATAGCCTTCTTAGACACACCAGGAGAACAGAAATCAGATTTACTATATATTAGGCCAAAGAATGTAAGTGTAATAATTCACTTGTCTTTGCAAAAATAATAAGTACATAGTATACCTGGGAGATCGGAACAGTTTCTCCATACACCATTTCAGAAGTGCAACCAAATGAAAAGAGCCAAACTTTTATTTTGAGCTTTTCATCTAACTTGTCTTTATAATTGAGTTTTACCCTAGTGCCAGTGCAATATTTATGTTCTTAAATATGAAAGGGAAAGAAAGCTGGTTTGTCAGCTCTTTAACCTGGGGCTCAGGGCACCAGAGCAGCAGAGAGAACACCCGGTTAATGAATCCGCGTCCCAGGGATCTGGCGGGAAGGCCACAGGTGCGCCAGCACACTGATTCCTTCTGAAACTCTGTTTTGCCTTTTATGACTTTCAATTTAAATTCCCAACTTTAGCATGGTTGTATTCTGGACTTCTTATTACCAGGGTGATGGTTTTCATGTTCTTGAGAAAGAAAAACAAATAAGTTCCAAATCCTCATCCAGTATCACAGGGCCTGTGTGTCTAATTCTCCAAATGCTGAGCAACGTGCTCGCCGGCCAGGCCTCGTTCTTGGTGTGGAACGATGTTCTATCAAAGTTTTCATGGGGCTTTTGTTATATTTTGCTTCTGAATTTTCTGCCATCTTTTTGGGTAGAAATGTATGCACTCAAATTCAGATGTACAAGAACAACAAAAAGGCAACTTTCATTTTTTGTAACTGATCACATTTTGCATACAGCTTCCATTCCCACTTAGTAGCAAAAAATAAAAACAAAACAAAAAAGTCATGAATTTACCAGTTGAAGTTAGCCTTGTCTCTTTCTGCTCATTAATAAGCTTTGGAGGGGTTGACTTAGACTCTTTGGGGGTCTCAGTCAATTCAAAGTTTAAAATTCTATGAGGACCAAAAGCACAAACAAGCACCAAAAAAAAAAAAAAAAAGACTGGGTAAATTGAACTTTATCAAAAGTTTAAACTTTTATTGCATCTGAGCACACTCGCATCAACAGAGTGAAAATTCAGTCCACAAAATGGGAGAAGGTGTTTGCAAATCATGTATCAGACAAGGATTGGTATGCAGAATTATATAAAGAACTCCTACAACACAACAATGACAAAACGAACGACCCAGTTTAAAAATGGGCAAAGGACTTGAATAGACATTTCTCCAAAGAAGATATATAAATGGCCAATAAGCACATGAAAATATGTTCAACATCACTAGCCATTAGGGAAATGCAAATCAAGACCACAATATCACTTCACACCCTTTAGGGTGGCTACTATCGAGAAAGAAAGAAGGAAAGAGAGAGAGAGAAAAAGAGAGAAAAATAAGGGAGAGAGACAGAAAGGAAAAAAGAAAAAGAAAGTATCAAATGTTGGTGAGGATGTGGAGAAATTGGAACGCTTGCACATGGCTGGTAGGAAGGAAAATGGTGCAGCCGCTGAAATAGTATCATTTTTTACAAAAAAAAAAACCCAAAACCCATAAAATTACCATATGATCCAGCAGTTCCACCCCTGGTTATACACCCAAAGAAAGAAACCAGAGGCTTGAGTGTCTATCGGTGATGAGCACGTACACCAGTGTCCATAGCAACATTATTCACAGTAGACCCAAGTGTCCACTGACAGAAGGATAGATAAGCCAAATGTGGTGTATGTACAATGGCATGTTATTCTGCCTTAAAAAGGGAGGAGATTCTGACACACACTACAACATGGATGAATCTTAAAGACATTATGTTAAGTGAAATAAACCAGTCACGAAAGAACAAATATTGTTTGATTCCTCTTCTGTGAAATTCCTAGAGCAGTCAAATTTATAGAGACAGAAAGTTGAATGGTCATTGCCAGAAGTTGGGTGATTGGGGAATGGGGTGAATGTTTAATGGATACAGAGTTTCATTTGCGAAGATGAAAAAATGCTGGAGATGGATGGCGGTGATGATTGCACCATATGTGCATGTACTTAAAATGCCACAGAATTGTACACTTAAAAGTGCTTGAAATGGTAAATTTTATGTTATATATATTTTACCATTAGAGCAGTTTTTTCCACTTTCCAGGCTTCTCCTGGCTGCTTCCTCCTTCCCAGAACTTATGTATCCTCACAGCATCAGTTCCAAGCCTTTGGGTTTTTTGCATGTGGACACCAGTTGGGGTGTCTTGACCTGAGGAAGTTCTGACCTCAGCATTGCCTCCAGCATTATGATATCCTTGGTCTGTTCTTCCAGGAAGTTGCTCTCTTCCTCTGTGTGGACCTCAGCCATCAGGCCTCACAGTTCCCCTGGGGTCAGCTGCAATCTCTATTCATTCCCCAGTCTGTGAGTCTACCCTTCAGTCCTTAGCTGCAAGGTCACCTCACCCCTTGCTGCACTGACCTTCCCTCCCCACAATAAGACCACCAGTCAGCATCTTTAGGCTTCTTACACGTCCCCACATGTGAGGACCTTGCAGGATCTGTATACTATGTGGAATCAGGAAGAGCTGCCTTGAGTCCTCTCTTGAATCAATATGCCAGACCACCATTTCATTTTCTCCTGTCCCTTCCCAGTATCCTGCAAGCACTATTAATCATCTCTACTTTGTCCATTGGCTGGCTCTAAAAGTTGAAAATGTCTGAACTGCCTTTACATTAATATGACTTGCAAATATGCTTTTGTCTTGGGGCACACGGTGTGTTTGATTATGTTTCTTTCCTCTATCGGTGACTCAAAGGAGAGTATTTTTAGTGTTGAGGTTAATGAATTCGCTCTTGTTACAGTCTATCAGTTGTTTAAATTCATGCCATATTTTAGTTTACAGTTTTGATTTTTTTCTAGTTTTAATTGTCTTTTTGTCTTGCATTATTTGACTTTATTATGTCCTTCCTTTTTTCCCCCTAAAACAACCATCATATTTTCTATTCTGCCAGCTTTTTTTCCATTCCCAGCATCCAGTCTATACCAGTCTGTCTCCAGGTCTGCTGCACATTCAGTAACTGGCAACCTCCCTTTACTGCCCTTCTGCGTTGGATCTACTGTTTCAGGACACCATGCCTTTCTCTTTGTTTACACCCTCATTTTGCTGGAGTATGTCCTCAAAGAACTCCTAAGAACAGATGGGTGGGTTATGAACTTTGAATCTTTGTATTCCTGTGTCTTTACTTTGTTTTCCCACTTAATGAATAATTTGTCTGGGTATAGAATTCTGGGATGAAAAATTTTTTTAACATGCCATTGTACATACAGCACATTTGGTTTATCTATCCCTCTGTCAGTTTTTTGGAACTGCTTGATTATTTTTAAGCATCCAGTGTTGCTGACAAGCCTGATGTCAGTCTGATTCTTGTCTGTTGTACCTGAACCATTTTTTCTCTAGAAGCTGTTAATGTTACTTTCTTATCTTTGGTGTTCTACAGTTTTATAATGACATGTGTTGTCTAATTTTACTCATCCTGCTTAGCATTTACTGAGTTTTTTCAATCTAAAAATTCATACCTTTCAACTTTGGGAAATTCTGTGTTTCTG